TTTGTCGAGGCCCGTAACAAAGACTATCGTTGCAAAGACTACCCGGCACCCAAGGTGTAAAAGTCTATAATGCAGTATAGCCTGCGTTTGAGACCCCGGAGTCGGAGGCAACAAGGGGCAAAATCTCGTAAACTTCCATGCCTCTTTTCCTCTCCTCCCAAAATAAACGGACCTGCGACGCACTCGAAGGGTCTGTATGTGGCCCCTGGTGCGGCCCCTGTGTGGCCCTGGGTGTGGCCCCTGTGTCTTCCCTGTGTGGCCCCCTCGTGTGGTCCCTGTGTGTCCCCTGTGGTGTCGCCTGTGTCGCCCCTGTGTCGTACAACCTACATATGTTCTGTCTAGTTTTTTCACGTAACAACGCTCACTATCCAGGGAAAAATTCATTCCTTTAGGTAATCCAAACAATAAATCGATCCAATCAACTGAATCATCAACTATTTATATTCATTTAATTATTCCATAAATAAATGACAACAAGTCACTCAATCAAATCAAATTAAACAAAACGAATTTTTCTTTTTATTTTAATCAAGTGTGTCAAAAATAGACTCAGTTAGTAACTAATCGATCAATCCACACATGTATGTTCCCTTTCTGTCTTCAACAACTTCGTGCCATTTGCGGTCATCTTAATTATGAAAGTATGAGAATTATTATAGGTCAATAACGACATTGATTGGTCGGCCATCGGACCTTTCCGCAACTCGTCGCACTGTGCCAGTCAAGTGCAATATCGTTACCCAGGTCTACACCTCTAGGTAGTTGAGGTCGCTTGAGGTCTTGTGGGTCCACTGAGGCTTCTACCCTCAGTGCGTCTTATTTAGGACTGGGCGTAAGTGGCACTGCCGGCGGAAGAAGAGCGGAGTAACCAGGCGAGCCGGCAAGAAACCCACTAGCTCGTCGAAGTAACTAGTGGTGGTAGTACCCTGCCTCTTACACGTCGCTTGTGGATATTAAGGGTGCCCCCTATTATTTCTTCCACACCTACCTCGCCGGATACCTAAGGCGAGCAGTTGTTGGTCGTTGAAAGAACCCTCTTTACTGAGCGGAAGTTAGGAGGCCAGCATGTGGTCCTTGCACTCACTGGTGCCTAAGTCGTCGCCCGTCTGCATCGGCTCCTTTGTACCTCCTCAGAGTCCATCCAGAAGAACGAGTGCGACGGGGGGCAGCACACCTTGTCCTTTCCTGCGTTACCGACTTCCGTTGTAACGGCGGTTTTGTGTCGTAGGTCTTCTTGCTACCTGTCCTTCGTCTTCACAAAGTCGTGGTGCTTCTATGCCGTGGTGTGTGAGCCTCTGTGAAAGCCCCAGGTACCTGCGGTTTTTCGTTTCGACAGCCGGTGGTCCTCCGTGTCAGCTTACCAACTACCACTCGGCACACCGCTATGTTGCACAAACAAAAGTGGTGCCTCCGAGGTTTGGGTTGCGGAGCTACTACTCCGTCAATGCTCGCTTTGTGCTGTGGTGCTCTGGTTGGACCCACTGAACAGCTAGGCCGCTAGAAGTCTCCTTGAAACGTAGTCCATACCGCTCCCTCCTGTCTAACGTCACACCACATGTCTCAGAGCGCTGAGGCGGTAATGTTGGCAATATGGTCGGTGTTTACATTAGCATGGCTAACACTCAGAGCTAACCTGTACTGGAGAGCATGTGTGTGAAGAAGCAGGAAGTAAAAAGGAACTCACCTTGTGGTATAACCGGCAAGAGAGAAAGCCTTTGAGCTCCATACTGTTTCAGAGATAATCCTTGATAATCCATGATATGGCGTTTCATCACGGCAGTATTTAGTTTAGACAGTAGCTGCCGGGTCCCGCATGAGCTCAGACCCCTCCTCTTTAAAGCTTTATACCCAAATCAGCACTTTAGAAACAGGAAGTGAAATAGACGGATATGAGGCATGGCTAGAATGGGTGATCTGTTTGGTGTTTGGAGCAAAACACTTCATAGGCATGTTTTTTATATATTTGTATATATCTGAGACATATGCTATTGCCTAAAAATAACCTGATAGATGACCTTTAACTAACTAGCTAACTTATTTTCTTACCAAACAAACTAACTAACATAATAATGAACTAACTTTATTTTCTTGACTAACTGTTGCGCCCATTAGAATGGTTGATATGTGTTTGTTATTTTGAACACTAGATGGCGTAATGGGGCAACACCATGTGATCTCCTGGCACAGGTGCATTGATTGTGACTGGGAGAGCAAGAGTTTTTTGACCGTGTCTTTCGTGTCTGTGAACACGCTGTTTTCTTTGATATTGAAAGCTAAACTTCGTCGTACATGGAGATTCCAGGTGTCCAATTAGTTCAACCCAGTTTAATCAATCCCAGGTGATATTGAGTGGCAATAGTCACCGCACTAACAAACGCAATGAATACATAATTAACTTTCTAATTACATTATTACATTACACGCTTTTATACAAAGTAACTTCCATACTCAATACTGTGGACAATCCCCACAGGAGCACTTTGGGGTGAAGTGTCTCAGGGACACAACGACATGCTGACTGCAGTGGGGTTTGAACCTGCTACCACCTGATTCGAAGTCCAGCACACTCTCCACTTAGCCACAGCCTCCCCCTAATTTTTCAAACTTACTAGCTAAATAACGAACTAACTTTCCTAACGATTGTCTAACTAACTAACTACCTGTGTACTTACACCTTTACGTCTGCAGGCTTTATTTTGTGTTGCCTTGGTTAAGCATGTGAACAGCCCTGCTCGGTGTTACCTGTCATACGGCAGTAACATGTTAGTATTAGAATTGTGTTTGATTTCCTGCTCAGTAACTTGTCCTTTTTTTATTTTGCAGGGTTTGTTCATTCTGTTAACAACATGCGTGATGGACAAATCGGTAAGATGTTACTTTTTAAAATAACGCATAATGCATCCAAATCACAACACACTAGTCAGTCGGTGATTTACTTTCTACTAACAAGTTAAATATGTAAAACCACAAACAGGATATTGTAGCATAACAGTTTTAATCTCATTTCCGCAGACCCGAGAAGCACTTGGGAAACGTCTGAAGAAAAATGTAAGTGTACTTCAAACAGGATTATTAATGAAAAACACACAACGATTATAAATGATTTGAATCTCTCTCATCCTCCGTCTCTCCAGGCTTCAGCCTCGATCTCCAGCAGCACCACAAAGCTACAAAGCACTTGGAAGAAGTGAAAATGATCCTAAATATGTTTCACACATTTTACGTACAATATATCTGAATAGGCTTCAAGTTCGTACATTTTTATAGTGATTACTTTGATGTATTCCCTGATATATGAACACTGTGCAATGCTTGTTTACCTGATTCGTTTTTTTACAGGAAATATCTCCATCTTGTTCCGATTGATTTTTATTTAAAACTTCATTTTATTGCGACATATTGTTTGGGAAACACTGTTTATTAAATCTTTCTACCTATAACCTCGTAATGTATAATTACCTTATTAGATTTTTACGTGTTATTATTTTGTATATTAATTATTTGTCTCTGTCTTTTTGGGGTTTTGGTTTTCCTCAGATTGTCTTTACTTGTCATTTTTCATTCTTTCTTCACAGTTGAACGAATTGTTTTCAAGATAAATACATGATTTAATACGGAGCTGTTTCAGGATTACTTTGTGTAGAAACTCACTTCTATATATCTGTCATTTGAATCATTTGAGAGGTAGTCGACTGAGATGTTCTTGAGTTCAAGAAAGCGCTAAATAAATAGATTTTCACCCAAAAACTATTCATTAAAACTTAAATGTTCTATCGGTGAAGCAAATGTTTGTTTCTTAACACTGTGCACGGTAAAGTGACCCCGTTTGTTTCAGTGACATTTTAAGCATATTTTGATGATGAATATAATGACTTTCATACGTCAGTTTCTTGCTCCTCTTCTCCTCGTTCTCCTGTTTGCTCCGCACCTCGTTAGTGTCGTCCAATGAGATTCCTTTCTGAGCCTCAACCTCTGCTCTGCAACACAAACAGGGATATTTACCTATAAAATATTTAACTAACAGATACCAGCATGAAACCTCCACCCTTCATTGCTGACATTAACACAATTCTTTTTTATATTACAAGTTTTCTGACAGGTCATGTTTAAATTAGCAAATGAGGCGTTTTGTGATGCTAACTGATGTTGCTTAGGAGAAATCTACAGACACGAACAGTGAGTCAAATAAACTCCTACATCTGAAGTTTTATTTAGTCTGATAATGGACATATAAATAACCCAAAATCTAATTAATAGAAAATCAAGTATTTCCCTGCAGTGTTTCACCTCAAATCAACCAAAGCGACCACTTTAGCCACTTTATTTAAACTTCACCCAGAATTCGGACTTTTTCTCCACTTTTTTACGAAGAAGATTAGCGCCAAAAAATTTATTTGAGATCTGAACAAGAGATTTTTTATTGTATTTCTTTTTTTTTCTGAGTCCTGACTTTGTTCTCAGAATGTTGAACTTTTTAAGAATTCAAACTTTTTTAGAATTTTGATTTTTTTTCTGAGTCTTGACTTTTTAAGAATTAAATTATTTCCAGAATTTGACTTTGACTCAGAATTGAAACTTGTTTTTCAGAATAATTTTTTCTCATTATTTTGACTTCTTTTTAAATCCTAAAATCCACATTTAGCCTCTTAAGTTACTTCTTGAGGGATCTGATGCAGTCGTGGTGTCCGTAGCCTATGTCTGGGCGATGCGTTCAGGCTCCAGAAATCGTCCAGGTTCAGGCTCTAAGAATTTGAACTTTTTTCCCAGATTATTTTTTTTTCAAAATGTTGACTTTTTTTTCATTTGATGTTTTAATGATCTTTGAAAGTTGCATTTTTTCTGAAAGTTGAATTTCTTCTCAGAATTTTTCTTCGGAATTTAATTTTTTTCCTGAATTTTGACTTTTCTATTAAACTTTTTAAGAATTAAAACCTTTTTCTCAAAATGTTGACTTTTTTTTCAGAATTTCGACTTTTTTGTCCACACATGTGCCAGTAGAGACACTAAATCCTAAAATCCACTCTATCCGCCTCTTAATTTACTTCTTGAGGAATCTGACGCAGTCGTGGTGTCCGTAGATCTGCGCGATGCGTTCAGGCGTCTCTCCGCATAAATCCTCCAGGTCCAGCGGTGCGTTCAGGCTCTGCAGCAGCTTCAGGACAGGGAGGTGTCCGGCCTCCGCGGCGCTGTGGGCGGCCGTCCATCCGTGCTCTGTCATCAGAGAGGGACACGCCCCGTGACCAATCAGGAGCCTCACAATCTCCACGTGACCTGGGGGGGGGCACAGTGAGATCTCACACTTAAAAAAAAAATTACAGTTAATAACTTAGACTTAGCTTTTTCCAGACAATAAACAACTAACAACACAATAACGAGCAAAGTGACACAACGGCATTGTTGACAGACAGTTTGTGATCTACAGTTATGAGAAATATTCCTGTGTATTATGAACTCTGATGATGGTTTTCAATATTTAAAAAAAAAAAAAAAGGTAAAAGAAAGGAAAATAAAAATAAGTTCAAAAGTAATTTACTTTTAGCCAAAAGCTATGACTACATCTAAGTGTTTTGATGTTTCTGTAGACAAAAGTTCTGTGTGACTCATTAATCACATCTTAATTCCTATTATCAGTGAAAAGGTAATAACAGTAAATGAATGCACTAATTATTCATCTGCAGAATGAGTACTTTTACTTTTCTCTACTTTCTCTCAGAATTTTTACGGAAGAAGATTAGGGCCACAGGAACATTTCTTTGAGATCTGAACAAGAGAGATACTTTTTATGAGTTCTGGGATTTAAGTAAAAGAATATGATTAAAAACATTTATTTTGTATTTTCTCAGAATAAATGGTCAGATCTCACTGTGGCCCCTACTTTTACTTTTATACTTTCACTTATTTTGCTCTACTTCTTATGTATTGTCCCATTGGTCCATAAATCAGTTCTGCTTTTTTGACTCAGCCCTACAGGTGTATTTTTAGACCAAAGCTATTCATCTAAATTATTGGATGTTTTCTGTGGATAAAAGTTTAGTTTAAATGCTGATGGAAACTAAAGTAACTAACCTGTGTTCAACATGTAAGAAGTAGAAAGTTTAGGTATTTGGGTTCAACATGTGAGAAGTAGAAAGTACAGGTATTTGTGTTCAACATGTGAGAAGTAGAAAGTACAGGTATTTGAGTTCAACATGTAAGAAGTAGAAAGTACAGGTATTTGAGTTCAACATGTAAGAAGTAGAAAGTACAGGTATTTGAGTTCAACATGTAAGAAGTAGAAAGTACAGGTATTTGAGTTCAAACATGTAAGAAGTAGAAAGTACAGGTATTTCGTTCAACATGTAAGAAGTAGAAAGTACAGGTATTTGAGTTCAACATGTAAGAAGTAGAAAGTACAGGTATTTGAGTTCAACATGTAAGAAGTAGAAAGTACAGGTATTTGAGTTCAACATGTAAGAAGTAGAAAGTACAGGTATTTGTGTTCAACATGTAAGAAGTAGAAAGTACAGGTATTTGTGTTCAACATGTAAGAAGTAGAAAGTACAGGTATTTGATGTTCAACACGTAGAAAGTACAGGTATTTGAGTTCAACATGTGAGAAGTAGAAAGTACAGGTATTTGAGTTCAACATGTAAGAAGTAGAAAGTACAGGTATTTGTGTTCAACATG